TCCTTATACATAAATTACATGCATTGTGACGACCTTCTGCAAATATTTTTATAGGGTAAATTCTTAGGAGATCACTGGATGCATTTAAAATTTGTATAAATGTAGCGAGATTAATAAACACCTAAAAAATGAATTGATGCTACCCACATTTGTCAAACACATGATAAGGACTGCCAGTTTGGAGATGCCGGCAGAGAGAGCCCGGACAGCCAACACTGCCCGCAAGAGTCCACTCCCTGCAGTGCCGGGGGCGGCCGTTCTCGGGTCACGTGAACGGCTTCGCCCCGCCCCCCCTCGCAAGGGCTCGCGCGGTGGCTGGCGCTCTGGCTTGCGCAGTCGCATCACGCACAGGCCGCGGCGGGCGGGTCTCGCGGAGGCGGAGCGAGGACTCAAGGACTGTAAGTTCTGTTCTCGCCGCGCCGGGTTGGGCGGCCGCGCGGGGGCGGAGCTCGCGGGGCCAGCTGCTTCCGGCCGGGCCGCGGGGACCTGGGCTCGGACTTCCGGCGGCTGCGGGGCTGCAGTGGTACGGCATTTGCTTTTGGGCGCTACGGGTGCTGCGGCCCTTCTGGGCTTCGGTTCGGCCTTCGTTATCAGTGAACCTTTCGGAGCAGGCTTCTGCCCAGGTGGCCCACCGCGCCTGTTCACCTTGAGACTGGGGCCGCACCCAGGACCTGCCGCCTCAGAGGGGCAGGCAGGGCGTTGCTACCATCTTTACTTCTAAAGTGTAAAGATGCCCCAGGGTTTCTGCAGTCCCGGCTGTCCTAGATATTCGTCTCCTGGGGCCTGCAGTCGGGAGAACCCAGTACATCTGGACAGTACGCTGTGGCTGCAGTCGCAGGCCGTCCTTAATGAAATGTTAAATACAGCTCAGTTGAACGGACCTTAGAGGTGACAGCTAACTTGATGTGAGCGTTTTCCTGCGGTCAGGCCCTACCCTGAACATTTGAGGTGTAATAAAAAACATTTATCCCTCACCACACCCCTATGTGGCAAGGCTTTCTTACGACGAAACTGCAGCACAGATAAATTAAGCAACTTGCCCTAAATCACGTAGAATAGGGATTCAAACCCGGTCTAGCTCACCTGTGATCACAGATCTCTATTAATAGACAATGGGGGCGATTTCCAGAGTGGCTACATGATTTTATTAAGTTATTAGGCAAGTATTCAATTTTAAACATTTGTGGATATAACTCTTGCACATTAGCATTCATAAATTAAAAATTCAGGGCCATAATCTTTGG